ATTACGTAGACTTTCCCAATATTACTCGTAACTCCCTCAAAATCAGTTCAAGCAGGTTCTTACTGTGAAAAGGAGTAATCACAATTTGAATTTGCTTTCTCTTGTTCTGCTTTATCTATGATTTTTTTCATTGATCGCATTTTGTATGTATTTATGCGGCTCGTAATGCAGGTGTCGTAATCTATATATTGTTATATCAAAAGGAAGTTTCACTTTCTCATATATGGCCAATAATAATAATAATGATAATCACAATCGGACGTATCGTCGATCTTTTTAATTCACTCCAATTCTTCATTCTCAGGCGCGTCACGAAAGCGTCAAAAAATTCTTCTCTCCCCCGAAGAAAGAAATATTTCCGCGACCTTCTCTCCCTCCCGGCCGCTCACGTTTACAATCGTCGAATGTCTATGCGTCGTCGAGATATCCGCGAATCTCGTTAATTCGCGCGGAATACCGTCTCCGGCGGAATTCCCGCGAACGGAGCTGATCCAATAATCGCGAGCGCGCTCGCGGCGCGCGCGATCCGTCGTTGCTACCGTGTTTACGTACGCGTGTGTTTGTGTGTGGGTGCACGGGAAAGATTGCGCGCTCTCGGCGGGCGTGTGCGAAGTGGGCTAAGGTCAATTCGCAAACTATTTGGCGCGCGTCCAGAGCGTGCCCCGCGCGACGAGAGCTCGTGGTGTGGCAGCAACTTGGTTGCTTTTCATTTTCCCTTTTCCCCCTCTTTTTTCCCCTCCATCCCTCGTTCTTTTTATTTCTTCGTGCCGGCGAACTCCTCCGCGATCACACGCAGAGCACGATCGCGATACGGCCGGAGGGAGGGCGACTAACGCCGCGAGAGGGAGGGAGAGCGGCTGGATCGAAACGAGCCCCGTATTCGCCACCTCTCGCCGGCTCCGACTCGAAATTTACAACTAATCGCCGCTTATCACTCTCGAGCGCCTCCGTCGGCCCTTAATCATCGCTTAAACACGAGATCGTCGCGCCGAGCGTGGCTCCCAAACTGTTTGGCATAGTTCCCGCGTCATAAGCTCGCATTCGAGGCCGCAGCCGTCGCCGTAGAAATGTTAACAATCGCCTGCGCGCGCGCGCGCTTACTTACTTCTCGTTAACGTCATCGGCACTTTTCGCACTCGACTTGCGCAACCTTCCCGAGCCATGCGAGTCATTATCGTTTATCATATTTTTTTGATCGATTGTCATCATTACCGGACTATACGGCTCGCGTTTCTCGCCTGGTATCTCTCTCTCCCTCTCTCTCTCTTTCTCTTAGGGTCGGATAACCGGATGAACCTAACCGTCAGTTAGATTCGATCGGCGCGAATGCGTCGCGCATAACGTCGATTCAGCGAATTTAGCCGCTTATTTCGGCTGGAGTGTTTCGCCATTTAGCGGCGATTCTTAATGAAATCGACGAAAGAGAGAGAGAGAGAGAGAGAGCGCCGCCGCTGTTTTTCCGATTAACCGTTCGATCTCGATTAGGCTAATTGATTTTTTTTCTTGTTTCCCGCCCTTTTTCCTCCCGCCGTTGTGCTCGAAATAGAATGGTCGCGCTAATAGAGGAGTCGCGCGCGTCGCGTGTGCGGGCGTGCGCGCACATGCGGCGTGCCCGATGCGCGTCCCGAATTATCGTTGTATGAAATATCGTTCCAATAATCCGACCAATCGGCCGGACTCGTCGGGATTTATCAAATTTGATATGAACGACAAACGCACGCATTCGCTCGTTCACGGTTCCATCCTTACGGTTACGCGCGCGCGCGCGCGGCCCGAAAAAATTGATCATTAAGAGTAATATTCGCGTTCCCATGGCAAAAAATTCTATTCGATCTAAAGGCAATCGCTTTTGCGACAAAGCAGAAAAGTTGATTTCTGCGAAAGGCAATTTCGCCGAAGCGCGCGCGCGCGCGCGCGCCGGCCGCGCGACGCGCGAACGCGCGCGGCCGCTATTTATGCGATAATTTATCGCCATCGGAAACGAGTTATCACGTTTCATTGTCCCGCGATGCATCTGCCTGATTGTAATCATAGTTGTAATAGCTACGGACGTGCCGATGCGCGGCGTTATATACGCCGGCTCAATCGATTTCGTATTTCGCGGATTGCGCGCGCTATATAACGATATTTGTCATTTTGTTCTTCGGCTCTTCGTGAGAAAGGGGGGAACGGGGGAAGGAGAGCGAGAGGGGAACAGTGAGTGGCGCAAAAAGGGACGAGATGTTTTATTTTTACCCTTCGAAGGAAAGAACGGTCGCGCGACTCGTCAGCGACGCGAAATTGAAGGTGTTTTCGAGCCCGTCCTCGCGTCCATCCATAATTCGCCACAGAATTCGGGACGAGATTCTATTTATAATTTTATAGATCGTGAATACACAGAGAACACTTGAATTGCGACTATTTATATACGTACATATGGCATGTGCATATGTCTGTGTGTCAGTGTGTGCAGCATGTCCTATAAATATTATTCTGAATCCTCGTGTGTTTTCTTACAAATCAAATTCCGTCCCGAATGCTGTCGCAGGTAATAGATTTCGTTCCAATGTGTGACGTCGAATGTGAAAGGTAAAGAAGAATCATATTCGTTTACTTATAACCCAAAGTTGCACTCGTCGCTTCGGCGGTGTCGCGTTCACACGTTCGGTGTGTATATCTTTCTCATCGGCTCGCTTTCCAACGGACAATGCAAATTCCTTGAGCGTTTTTCCTCGAAGCTGTAGCGGCCGGTAATAACGGAAAGTGCTTCTCAGATAGTTGAAGGACGATCATCGCGTTATCGGCGCGTCGGCTATCGTAAAATTATGAAAACCGAATTCGGACGCGAGTCGGCTAAATTTGCTCGAATTTCCATATTTTCATCTAACGAGCCGCGCGAGTTCGATTCAACGAGTTCGACAAAATTAAAGCCACCGTTCGAGAACGATGTTTACGTGTAATGCAATAATTGCAATAATTGCAATAATTGAAATTATTTGACAGAGCGCGCGGCAAAATGTCTCGGACCATTTCATCAACGTGTAATTTATTTATCCGCGAGCGTCGGCCATTCAGTCGACATCCGGTGAAGGAAGCCGCGAACGAAGGAGATAAGAATGAGGCAGAAGAAGCAGAGGAGGAGAGGAGTAGAAGAGGAGGTAGCGATAATAGTGGAAGAAGGAAGGAGGAGAAGCTGAAGATGCGCTTTCGGCGAACACTCGTTTTTTCCGCGACGTTAATGAGGAAACGGATAATATCAATGGCCATTCTTGAAACGCGGCAGCGGCGTTGCAATCAGCGGAGCTGAAATACGGAGCGCATAAGTAAAGAACCAGCCGCGAAATTATTCAAGACCGATCGATAGCCGAGTGCTGTCGGTTGACGCGCAACTGAATTTCAGGTATCTACCGTACGGACGTGTTTTTCCAACGCGAAAACCCGGGAACGCGACATTCTCCGAGAGTCTCTCTCTCTCTCTCTCTCTCTGTCGCTCTTTCTCCCTCCCTCTGTCACTCTTTCTCCCTCCGTTCTTTCCCCTATAAATTAGAAATCGTTGGCTTTGAGTGTGAGAGCGCACTCTCGAAATCTACTTTTCCATTGATCCCCGACGCCGCGCGTTTCCAGCGATCCCAAAGACCGAATTTTATTCAACAGAACGTTTACGACATCTCGAGACAAATACGTCAAATATTCCGAGCGTTTCTAAAACCGCAGCATTCCTGAAAACACGCGTTACCCGAAATCACCGTGCCCGACATTCTGTCGCGAGCTTGCGTGCATAGAAAAAAAAATTAGATCAAGAATAGATGTTTTCATATATAAGCAGTAATATTACAATCTTCTTAGATTTGTAATTTTGAATCGAGCTCGAATAACATGCATCAATATAAATTCAATCGAGACTAAAAATATTCTAAGAAGATTATGATATTCTTGCTTATATATGAGAATATCTATTCTTGATTTAAGACTAATATTTTTCTGCGTGATCACGCGATTTTGGGATGTTATGATACCAGTATCATAACAAACATATCGATGGATAACTTAAAATTTTCTATTTTTTATTATTATATTTTCTCTAATTTAAAAATCAGACAAGTGCCTGTCTTGCAAAGTACTTTTAAAGGATTCATATGTCTGCGCATAATAATCTTACTATAGTATAAAGATACTTTTACCCTCTGCATTAGACTTTCTACGATTTAAAAACGTTAAAAAGGATGTGTTAAGGTTCTTGTGTCTTCGCTACGATTGGCCTTGTTCGATGACATCAAAGCGAGAAATCGCATGCTAAAAATGACTGCTGCATACGTGGAAAATATACGCACAAAATGACACTCGTGATTGACTCCGCATATTTACAAAAATGTCCGGACACTTTCCCTTTACTTCAGCAATCAATAAATAACCGTAAAATTAACCGTAACAGAAATCATGAGAGAAGAAGTTTAAAACATAAGTTGCGTGTTACATTAATTTTCATGAAGCAAAAATACATAATATCTCGAAGACTGAATAAAAAATCAAAAAGAAAGACAGAATAAAAAATTAAAAAGGAAGATAACGAAAGAAAATATCGATACAAAAATACCCGGTATTGAGGGAAAAATTGATATTCGACAAGAAGGAAATCGATATTAGTCAGTAATGTCACAACATACTTAATCGCGCCTCGTTATCGCATGATTATCGTATTAGATTCCGACGCCACTGTTGCTTTCGAAAAGCTCCGGTCGCGGAATTCATTCTCTTTCAAGAAAATGACCTGGCCCGGTGCCGGGGTGCACAGGTGTGTGTCCTCGCGGGCCGAGTGCAATCGAATGATGCGAGTTCGAGCGTATGTATGCACTTTCGACCGCGAAAGTTAGCCGTCGCTAACAAGCGGATCAGTCCCGCGGCGGTGGCGCGCGCGCCTATTCCCTCTCGTTCTCTCTCTCAATATTCATTTCCCCGTGCATCGCCAGGGGGCAATTACTATCGATCAGGGGGATAAGTTACGTCGTGTGCACGGTACTCACTTTAAAAATAGCCTGTAGAGTACGGCGCTGAAGGTCTGTGAAAACCAGCCGCGGTTTCTTGGGGGCGGGCTGTTGGTGTTCTGCCTGGTTCGCCATCTCGTCTTTCCTCTTGCATGCTGAAATTAGAGGAATCCGTGAGCGGCGCGGTGCGTGCGTACATACGTATGAGTGCGTGCTTGCGTGCGTGTCGTCGGCCGACGGCGACGTCGTCGCCGAGGAGGCTACACGTCCGTGTGCGTCCCGTTTCGCTCGAGTACGCGAGCGTGGCGTTTTCGCGCGACGTTTACTGCACCCGCAATTTCGGATCGACGCTCTCCAAGTTACCACGAGTGCCGGAGTTTGGGGGAAGGTGAGAAATAGTTGCTACACGCCGGGAGAGAGATCGATAATGGTGTCTCCGTTACACGTCGTCGGCCGGCTTCGCCGATCGTCACGGAATTCGTGCGCGACGAAATAGTCGCGGCATCTCCCGTTTTAAGAGCTTACACACACCCGGGCGGCCTCCTAAAACGCCGAATGTTTGGATTTTTCTGCTGATCACATATCATTAATTTTATGAAGATGTCCTTTTCAAGGACGATTCTTCATACTTTTATTTATATATTAGATGAAACCTATTGCAAAAAATTGATATATAACGCTGTTATTATTATTATTATTATTGTTTCCATGAAGCTCGTTATCGCTAATCGATCGCACCCAAAATATCTCGAGAACTATTGGACTGATCTGGCTCTAGTTTGGCATAAATATTCTTAATTATCTAATCTTTGCCGTAGCTGAGTTTTTAAAATATTGATCTTTGATAAAGTTACTAACACAAAGTCAAAAGTTCGATTTCTTCGCCAAAAATTTCACCTTTTTTGGTTCGTAAAAAAAAATAACTTTAATAGATATCAAAAGAATCCTGCGACAAAGATTAGATAATCCTATTAAGAATATTCATGCAATACTACAATTAAATCGGTCCGATGGTTCCCGAGATATTTTGGGCACCGATTGACGATAACGAGCTTCACGGAAGCAATAATAACAACGTTATATATTAATTTTCTGTAATGGGTTTTATATGTGTAATATGTAAATAAATAATTATATAAAGAATCACCTTTCAAGAGAATATTTTAGATAAAGTTAATAATGTGGTCAGCCGAAAAATTCAAACATTGGACGTTTCTTCGAGCCGTTCGGATGTGCGCAGCCCATTAAATGCGAACGAGATTCATTAGCGAGATCGACCGTCGGATTTTGGCGTCGTCGGTGCGTCTCGGATTTTTCGAAGGCCGGCGGCTCAAGGACTTTGAAGATTCGTGAATCTGCGAATTTAAATTTCTCGGGTAAAGAGTATCGAATCCTCTTCTCGAAAATTCGAATCTACCCGGAGGGAACGCGACGTTGGAACCCGAGGTGAAAAAAAGGGTCTCGCGGCGATCGCTTAATCGAGTCCTCGAATCCTGTTCGTCCGTTCACGAGCGTCGGGAAGTGGGCCCCGATCGCACAATCGGCGGCGAACCGTGACATTTCCGACGGATTCCGCATCCTCTACGCTCTTCTTTCCAAACGGTCTAATAGACGATAATCGCAATTACGGGGCGAAAAAAGTGCAAAGGAGACGACGGGCTGCTGCTGGTGGTGGTGGTGAGCGGCGGCGATCGTGGCGGCGGGGACGAGGAGAAGGAACGAAGGAGAGAAGATCGACGGAGGAGGAAAAGAGGAGCAGTAGGAAGAGGCGCGTCGGCGGTGCGGCGAGGAGGAGAGGAGAGCGGTTGCGGTTTTTTTCAAACGTAATTTAATCGTACTTACTTCCGCGTTGTGGAATCTGTGCAGCTGAAAGCAGAAAAAAAGACCGATGTTAGTCAGTGGGAACGTGGCCGGGTCGCACGACCTTTCTTTCTTTCTCTCTCTCTTTCTTTTCTCTTTCTCTCTCTCCCTCTCTCTCTCTTTTTCTCTCTCTCTCTCTCTCTCTTTCTCTTTTTATCTTTTTTTTTTCTACTTCTCCCTCTCACTCTCTATTCTCTTTTTTTTTTCGGCAGGTCGTTGCCCTCTTTTTTTCTTTTTTTTTTCCTCCACTCGCTTCGTTTCCGCGCTCAAGACAGATAGTACATTAAAGTGGGCACGTAACGGTAGCATGTACACAAGTCATTAAGGGAAAAAGGGTGAACTGAGTTGCATACACGAATCCCAAACTTAAAGCTACTGGCTGCTGGTAAATCATACATATCACTAAGGGGGTACCAAAAGGGCAGGGGGTGGGCGGATGCAAGTGTCGTAAGATGCATTCTCTCGTTCATACGGGGGTCGAGAGCGGAAACGAAGNGGGGGGGGGAGTGGATGCGATGTGACGCTCGCTCGCTCCCTCGCGCGAGGGAGTATCCGCGGATCTCGTTACTGCGAAACGTTCGTTTCGAAGGAGCGAAAGAGAAAGAGAGAGAGAGAGAGGGAGGGAGCCGGCGCGTTTAAAACCGCCGGGCAAACATCCTCGCGCTCGACGACGCTTTTCATCGTCGACGTCGAGTTCGACGGTGTGCACGGTGTGTATTCACCGACGTAAATGTTTAATGCGCGATACACGTGTACACACACCCTCTCGTCGACTCGCACAGAAGAAATATGCATAAGCGTGCGCCGCACTGTTATTTGTTATAATTCCAAAGGTTTATTATGTACATTATTGCGAATTCCCATACAAAATTTTTTCGCGATAATGTAAAGAACAATGTCTGGAATTGCAATAAATAACAGTATCGCGCCGTATTCGCGCGTACTGATCGGCGAATGTGCGTGCGTGGTCGGGATGAATACGTATGATTGGCCAAGCCCGTCGTAGCTCTCTCTCTTTCTCTCTCTCTCTCTCTCCTTCTCTCTCTCCTCTTTCTCTCTCTCTCTCTCTTTCTCTTTTTCTCTCTCCGAAACTTGAAGGCCTCGAAGTTTTCGATTATCCGTGGATCTTCGACTTCGAGGATCCACCGCCGCACGGATCCAAGGATTTGGGGACTCGATGATCCCGGAATACGTGGGAATCGCTGGATTCCTGAATTCTTGTTCCGAGAGTCCGAAAACCCGAGGATCCACGCTGGGGGGATGATCGCTCGGTGTCGTGAGCGAATCTTGTGTTTGTCGTCTTTATGGGAACAGAATAGTAATGTTGTTTCATTGTATCTAAAAAAGATATATATATATATATATATATATATATATATCTTTTATATATGTTATATTTATATAATTATATATATATATATATAATTTTTTTCCATCTCTTCTCTTATGTATATATATATATATATTTTTTTTTGTGTTGTATTTAATGTGATCTGAATGGCGTGTCGGTGTGTGCCGAGCGATTTGATTAATCGGCCGCGAATCGAATTTTCATTCCTCCTCGACCGAGGGGGATAGCTCGAGCGCGAGAAAAATCTCGATATTCCGCGTCATCGCGCACGCTAGCGCGCGGTCCATTATACCTCCGCGGAATTAAGCGGATCTGGGTTATTCAACCGGTCCTTAGCGATGCATACAAATATAGTCCGATAACGGCGACAACCAATTTTGTTCACTCGCCGCTGCATATTCGCGATTCTTGTCACTTAAGCGACGCTTTTGCAATTAAGTTAAAATTTGACGACGTCGTGTCCGCGAGTTTTAAGCACCGCGTGCGTTCGAACGTGGAGGAGAAAAAAGAACCGCCGTCGCTGCGAATTTGTTGCTACGCGCACACATGCATACATACATATATACACACACACACACACACGCGCACGTAAACGCATACATGTGCAAACGCGCATATACAAGCGTAAATGAATACATAATAATTGATCACGGAACCACACGAAATTGTTAATAGCCAGTTGAACGCAATAGCCCTCCATTCATCTATGAAATAACTATATTCGTCGTCGTTTCGAGTTTAATGGCCCTTGCCGATCGATAAGCGCGCTCGGTTATAATAATAACGACGACTGCGTTTTCAATTTGACCGTAAAATTAGCTCGAAATTGGAAACGATCGTCTCTCGCGACTTTTTGCGCCCGCCCTCGTCAATTATGTAAATTTGAAAAAGAGCGACGTTCCGCCGCGGCTTTTCTATCTGAATTCGCGCGCGCGCGGTGCGCCGTCCATTTTCCCCGGGGCGATGGCGGTGGATCGAACCGGAGAAATGTTATATTTAAGATCCATTTGCTCGTCCGAGCCTTTTATTGAATCTTTAAAACCCTCCGAGTGTAGGATCAGGGATTTAACCCTTCCGCGGAAGAAGCCGGCGGCTTCACTCGAGTCCGCACGCTCGTGTTTCGCCCTCTCCTCGCTTTATAAATAAGTAAATTATCTCTATTACCATGCGGAATGTTCTCTGATAAGCGGCCAACCTCTCTCTCTCTCTCTCTCTCAGGGACGAACAAAGGAGCGCGAACCCGAAGGATTCGTGTAGGTGCCCAGCTGTCCGTGTTATTTTCCTGTTCTAAAAACACGCTCGCTCGCTCGCTCGCGAACAACGCTCGTGTGAATCCCATTTATTAAGAAACACCCGGTAAATTACGAAACGTCGTTTCACCGTGGGCGGTGGCATCGGAAGCGGAAGTGCCGGGTTCGCGTCCGACGCGAACGAGCCGTGGCGAACGGCGGGGAAGAAATTTCGCGGGATTTCGAGGTTTTCTCCCTTTGCTGCCGTCTGTGAAGGGTTAATTTTCCAACATAGCGCGCGGCCGGGGCGCGGGAGGAGGAAGCGGAGGAGCACACGGGGCCGGGATGTCGATCCGCGCGTCGCGAAAAATAGGAACGTCGGAGATGGGCTCGCGTGTCGGCGACGTGATCGCGGAGGGCAAAGGTCGCGGCGGCCGGTCCAGATGCAGGGGTGGATAAACGCGAAAGGCAATCGTGTGCCATTAGCGAGCGGCCGATAACGAGTGAAAGGAGCGCCGGAAAAAATGGCACGAGAAAATAGGGACAGCTTCGGAGGGACGGAGAAGAGCGGAGGAAGAGGCGGCGGGAGGAGGAGGGCGAGCGGACGGGACGAGATGGAAAATTGACGCGTTCATTATTGCCCGGGAGCTTTGGGAGCGGGAAACAAAGAGAGGCGGATAGATAGATAGGTAGGGAGATAAAGAGAAGGAGATAAAGAGAGGAGGTCGCGCGAGTCATCGGTGATCGACTTGCGAGAACCGAGGGGGACACTTTGCGCGTCTCCACTTCCGGCAAGGGGACGATTTAATTAGCCGACGATGGCGAATGTCGACGGAAGAATCACGTTACTCTCGCTCCGAGCGAAGACACCTGGCGTCGGTGGATTTCGAAAAGGGATGCTTTTCTTCGCGAACAGCCGGCTGTTATCACGTCGGGGTTGCTTGAAGTTCGGGCACCGCATTAACCCTTACACGTTCCGTCGAACTTGTACAGCCCTGCACAGGCTATTGTGCTACCCCGATGTTATAGATCGATTGATACCATTTTTTCCATGTTGAATTGTCCTTAGAAAGCACTCGACTTACTTTAGAATTATTTAATATTCGACTTCATAAATATTCTATTGGTGTTTAATTTTTATTCTCAATTTCAATAAACAATGTATTAATTGCAGACATGATTTAATTGCAGATAGAATATGTACGAATATTAAATAATCTAACAAAGATGAATAGGCAAATTTAAATAATGGACGAACGGGATGAATTTCGTTTCGTTAATTACTTACGTTAATTAGAATTTCTTTATTATGTACGTTTCTCGTTGGCATTGGAAATATACTATATCTATTGGATATATGTATCTACATATCTGGAAATAAACGTTGTATCCTTGTCCGCGTGCTGGCCTCCCGATTCAGCATTCTGCTTCTGGCTATTCCGTCGTGGCATTTAAAATACTAACTTGTAACACCGACACTCGCGTGGGTACGATTCGATCGAAGAAACAGACGTTAATTAACGCGGCGAGAATCCGATGAATATTTCTCGCACTCACTGTATATTTCGAAAAGGCGACGAAATATTTTGCGAAAAATGCAACGTGACGCTCGATCACGGGGAAGTACACGACGATGTGAAAGCAATGAGCGAGAAGGGCAAAATCGTCATTACACGTCAGTTGTTACCCGCAGTCGAGCGGGCTTTCACGGTGACCTTCAAGCTTATCTCCGTGCGCCGCGCGAATTCCAGGCGTTTCCATTAGATCTCGAGCCGGCGAGCCACACGCGTGCCATGAGCTACATGTATCGGTACGTCATAGTTCCCGTCGAATTGTTAAAATATTTCGTCGGCCAGTAAAATAATTAATTAGGTTCTCACCGGCTTTGCGTTATTCAACACGTGTGTCTTCGAGTGAATCGCGTGTACGCGAGTGTCAGTGTTACGACGGAGTCAGAATGCTGGGTCGAGAAGGATGCCCGGACTCAGGACGCCGGCAGCGATACATCATGTATTTCCAAGTATGTCAAGTTATTTATTAGACAACAGGTTTTAGTTTTTGGCAGACGCTTGACGAATTTAGCGAGAATGATGAAATACTCCAGTCGAAATGTAGGGCGGCATTTGTGGTTCGTCATTATTTAACAAGTAATCATAGCTTCATGAATCTTTGACTATTCATCAATCTGCATAGCTCGTGTTACATTGTGTTTATTATTTTATATAAGATAAACATTGATCCAAACAGCTGAATAACGAGTCATATATACGAATCCGTAAATCATTATTTTCCCAATCAAAGATTCGGAATAATTCACAACTATGTGAGTGAACCGGCCTTAAAATTTGATCCCAAGTGCTTATTTTTACGTCTAACAACGCTCCTTGGGCTGCGAGCCCGATTTTGTTTGTATCTGCTAACTCTTTTTCATTTCTGCTTAACTTTGTTATTGTGGAATCCGAAATCTCTATTAATAAGTATCAAAAATCTATTATAAACAATCTATTTG